GGTGAAATTTCAGCATTCATTCCTTCATTCATTCACTATTTCCTCAGTAAACCTACTCTATACTAGGCACTATTTACTAGTTTTTAAAGCACAGAATAGATAACTTACCCTAGGTTATTTTTCCCTCCTTTCCTCTAAACCTGAAAATGAAACGTGCAAGTCATGGAAAATAAACCAAACATTTACTTAGATTCAGATGATGTTATGTAATTGGAAAACAACTCATTCTATCCATTAGAATACAATTATATAGTCACCTACCTTTTGTTTTCAAATAAAGAATTATGGTATCCCATGCAGAATGTTTTTCTTCTTTTTTTGTACGTGTGTTGAGCATGTTCTGATACAGTGGTTTGTAATAACAGTAATGTATTGACTTTGGCATAAGGCTCTATTTTTGTTCACAGGACTTACCACTATTTAAGTTCAATACAGTAGAAGTTGCTGGTATGTTGACACTTTGAACCAGATACTTCTTTGTTGCAGGAGGCTGTCCTACACAACGTAAGATGGTTAACAGCATCTGTGACTTCTATGCACTAAAAGCCTATACCACCTTCCCCAGCTGTGACCACTCTTGGTCAGTACCTTTAGATGCTGACACAAATATGGGGCTGTTGACTTTGTTGAGAATCACATTAGAGAAACACCTCAGAGAGGAGAATTAGTATAGGGAGAAGAGACTTGTTAAAACTAACTGCAGATTTCTGGTTTAGTACATGCCAAAGTATATCATCTTCTCAATGCTACTGGCCTACTACCATTTTAAAGTCAAATGTCTTCTAGTCCTAAACCTGAATTGAGAAGTCCAATTAAAACAATGAATTTGAAGGAAATAATCCTGCCTAATCTTTTTTCTATCTTCCATTTAAAAGAATACCAAAGTCATCTTGTTGTTAATTATTTATAATTTTAATGCTTTTGACAAATATTTGCATACTTACCAAGTATTAGGCATAGTTCTAGGTGCTGAAGAAAAAATAATGTATAAATTGAATTTGCTGAACTGAGAAATCACTTTTTTTCTGAAAACATTGGGAATTAAACTCAGGGCCTTTGTACTGAGCTAATCCCCAGCCTTATTTCTATTTTTTATTTTGAGACAGAGTGTCACTAAGTCATTAAATTGCCCAGGCTGGGGTTCAAATTTGTGATCCTCCTGCCTCAGTCTCCCAGAGTACCAGGATCACAAGCAAGTGCCACCATACCCTGAGAGAAATCACTCTTATGAACACTTTTTAACAGATAAATTTTTGTGATTTTGGATTTGGCAAATGACTTAGAGATAAAACACCAAAACCAGGAGTAACAAAAGAAAAATAATTTAACTAGACTTTATTAAAATAAAAACCTTTTGTACTTAATGTTCAAAAAAACTCTACAGAAAACATTTGCAAATCATATATCCGAGGGCTGAGAATTTAGCTCAGTGGTACAGCACCTGCCCGGCAAGCAGGAGGTCCTGAGTTCAATTCCCGGTATCCCCCAAACAATAACAACAACAAATCATATATCTGATAGAGATTACATTTATACTCAGACTATATAAAGGACTCTTATAGTGTAATAATAAAAAGAGAAAAAACCAAAATAAAAATAGTCAAAGGATATGAATAGATATTTTGACTTCACACCTACTAGCAGGCTACAGGTCAAAAGTCAGACAATAACAAATGTCAGCAAGTATATGGAGAAACTAGAACCCTTACTGTTGGAGGGAATGTAAAATGTACGATTGCTCTGGAAGACAGTCTGGCATTTCTTCAATTAAACAGTTACTATGTGACTCAGCAGTTCCACTTTTAGGTATATACCCAAGAGAAATGAAAACATATGTTCAGAAAAAAACCTGGTACATCAATGTCTTATAGCACTATTATTCATAAAAGCCAAAAGCCCAATTAATCTAAATGTCTACCAATGGACAAATAGAGAAATAAAATGTAGTATACATGTACGATGGAATATTATCAACTATAAAAAAATAATGAAGTACTGATACGTGCTACAACATGGATGAATCTTCAAAGCATTATGTTAAGTGAAAGAAGCTAATCATAAAAGGACACATATTATTTGGCGCTATTCATATGAAATGTCCAGAATTAGAAAATCTATAGAGACAGAAAATAGATTAGTGTAAGTAAGGACCAAAATGTATAATAGATATTGTGAAATAGGAAGAAAATGTTCAAATGGCAAGGAGAACTACAGAAGGAGAAGGAAGGAAGGAAGGAAGGAAGGAAGGAGGGAAGGGAAAAGAAAAAAATAAGGAAAGAAGGAAAAAATTAGAACAAAGCTTTTTTGTAAATAAGGGGGGAGGGATTGAAGGAAGGATAGGGGAATGAAAAAAAAAGAATCAAGATACAGCGTTTTCAAGTGCAAATTCCCTATGATGAATGTGACCATTATGTATACCTAAAATGTACCAATAAACTTAATTTTAAAAAGGCATGTAAAAAAAAGTAGATTAGTGATTGTTTTGAGGTGGCAGGGGGTGAGGGGGTGATGGAGAGGGCAAGGGAAAGGGACAGATCAGGGTTTCCTTTTGAGGTGATGAAATGTTCTGAAATTGTGATGATGTTTGTAAAGTCTCTGTCAATATATTAAAGCATATTGAATATACTAAAATATATATTATTTATATTTTATACGCTATACTTTAAATGGGTGTTTGGTATACATATGCATTATTTCCCAATAAAGCTCCTTTTTTTTTTAAAGCGTGTTTTATGGTTCAAAAAAACATGCATTTGGACCTTGGCTTATTAACAAAAATGACTTGCTTAAAATACCCTCTCATCTGGAGATATTCTTTTCGGTGTGATGTAGGAAGCAATCACTGAATACTATTTAAACTACTGAAAATGCTCCAGGTAAATATTTAAGACTATGAAAATCTTAAAAGTTCAAAAAAATTAGAATTCCAGCATCCAGGAATTTCTGGAGGACATAAAGCACAGTGACTGTTCAAGATGTACTAAGGGGCACTAAGAATTAGATTCATGTTGTGGGAAGGGGTAAGAGAAGCAAGGAGAGTTAAAGAGCTCACATAAAAAGCGTAAGCCTTGAAGATCAGCAGCAACCTTCAGAGATGCTAAAAGAACAACCTTCCCTCATGTATACTATAAACCTTACTTTTCAGGAACCTAGAAATAATCCCCCATATGATTTACTCCAGTAATAAATACTAAGTCAAGTAAATAATAAAGAGCCAAACAAAACCAGATTTCAGCAAATACAGAAAAGGCTGAACCAGTCCCCAGGAACTGCTACTGCGAAGTTTTGACAATCAGCATGCATTATTGCTATTTCTAGGCAAATATAAGATGGTAAGATTGATCCCTGCTTGCATAGCTCACAGTTCCACTACTGCGATGTTACAATCTGTGTCGTTTTTAGTCCAAATAAAGTCCGTTTCTACGTTTGTCTTATGCCATATATTGTATTAGTCAACCCAGCCTATCTCACTGCAGGGCTCTTGGTATGCCTGGTCCCTGGAGTCCCCAGTTTCACAGACCTAAAGAATCACCAATGTCAGTGACAAGGATATGCATACAGGCACACGGATTTTTTTTTTTTTAAATCCTTAAAAAATCTCAGCCCCTGTCTTGGCCCTTGCAAATAGCCCAGTTCACCACCAAGCCGAATGTGGATACCTCATAGAGTCCTGTGCTCCAGTTTCAAAGCAAAATTAGGGCTAATATGGGGGCTGGGGGCAAGAAGAAAAACAACCACAGGCAGGACTGGTTTTTCCTACAGAGCCTCAGGTTTCAAAATGACTGCCTTGGAAGCTGAAATGACCCAGATGGGGGGTGGGGGCGCAGATATTTATTCCCCTGAGGGGTGGCTGTGGCTTGGTGTGGGAATGGGGAATTGGGGAAGAAGGGGCGTCTACATGGAGAGAACCGAGAATGGTCTTAAAGTACCACCCACCTCTCCAAGTGAATCACTGCAGTGTCAGCTCTGCACTGATTCCACGAATTGCCAAACAGGATGAGGTAAGGCACAAGCCTGGAGCCCCCTCCTCCTCCTCCCCCCTCCCCCTCCTCCCCCTCGGCCTCCCGCGCGCGCCGAAGGACGCATCCCTCGGAGAGGTGCACCATAGCCCCCCGTGGCCCGGGCTGAGGGGCTGACGTCACCCTTCTGCATTGAGCTTCAAGGACTGGTAGCAGCACCAATTTGGAGGGGAAACGGAGTTGGGGCGCTAACGCGGCCATGTGGCGGGGGCGGGGGTCCTCCCCCGGGGCGCTGCGGAACGAGTTCACGCAGTGAATAGTGTGACCAGATGGGAATATTGGGGTGAAGCGAGTGGGAAAGGGGTCCTAAGACCCTTCTCCAGGATCGCCGCAAAAGCTCAAAGATGTCTCTGGCTTATGTAAGACCCTCTCCCCTCCGTGCGCCTCCACGCGGTAGCGGCGTTCCCCCCCCCAACCCCATTTAGTGCGCCAGAGGAACTCCGACCGCCCTCGCCTAAGCGGGCAGAGGGCTTTCGGCGCCGTCCCTGCAGCCCCAAACTGTCGAGGATAACTGGGAACCTGGCATCAAATCCCGCGCTCGCGCGTCCGCTCCCAGCCCGCCACAGGTTAGCTCCAAGAGGCATCGCGAACAGGCTGGTAAGGTAGGGTAGAAAGAGGAGTCCAGCAAGGAAAACAGACAAATAAACCCGTAACTTTCCCCAGGGGTGGCTGATCCTATCCCGCGAGCGTAAAAAAGAAATCAATGAACAAAATAAAAATTTTTAAAAGGTCAACAACCTGCAGACACCCCCACCCCGCAGCCCACTGCAGCCTGCGCCAGGCAGTCCGGGGTCCCAGCAGCTCCGACCTCCGTCCCGCCACCCTGCAGCCCCGGACCTAGCACCTCGCGCCTGTCTCCTTAAGGAGGGGACTAAGATTTTTATTTTTGGTTGGGGTCCCCTTCAACCCTTCCTTTCTAAAAGCGTTACCCCATGGACTGCTGCACGGAGTCCTGGCCACTGGCCAGCCGTGAGCACTCACCCAGAAGACGAAGGAGTAGATGATGAGGAGGGTTTTGAGACAGGTTATCACAGGTTTGGTCTCCATTCTCCTCGATGCCATACTACAGAGCTCCGGCGGCGGCGGC